AGCCAGCCCCACTGCCAAGCAGACAACCTTCACATCCCCAAAGACAGGGAAGTCCAAGGAGAAAGCTGTGAGGAACAAGGGGCACCAGCCACCCCTGTATCGCTCCACGTGGGTATAAAATCATTCATACACCCTTGGTGTTGGCCAACACAATACAGAAGGGATGAACTGTTGCTTCAGAGAAGTCAGGCATCTTTCCCCACAATCCTCTCTTCCTTTTCCATGAGGGAATGACCCTGTTTCATAGAAATCAAATTATCTGCCCTCAGATTTGTCATTAAGGTCATGCACTGCACATGGGCACTGCAGCCCTGATACCCTGGAACAAGCTGAGATCCAGCCTCACAACACAGAGCAACGTGCTTGAGATCAGCCAACCAAAGCTCTGGGACACAGCTGAGGACTAATGGCAGGATTAGGCCCATCTCACCTTCTGCTGCTCTGACCAACTCAGGAGGTGGTGGATACCACGAATAGGCTAAGCATAACCCAACTGCTTTTGGCAAAGGTACCCATGATGCTCAGCTGCTACATCCCCTGAAGCCTCAACTGCCTTCGGCATTCCCATTATCCCATACTCCCAGACTGCTCCATATGTTCCTTAAAGCCTTAAGGATTATTTTGTTTTAATTTAATAATTTATCCCTTTCAGGAAATAGGCTGTTTATTGCTATTTTTAAGGGAGGGAGTCAAAAGGCATGAAGAGTGTTACTATTCAACCTTTCCTCATGGAAGGAAGAAGACATAGTTCAACTTTTCTGTTGGACAATCCATTGGGATTTCACTCATTGGACCTCTCCAGTGCTGCCTCGTTCCCTCCTCACACCAATCAGTTGCTGAAGTTGGTTGCTTGGGCCATAAATACACCCCTCAAGTGGAACAGCAGAGCTCCTCATGTCTCACCTCCTCTTCTACTCCAGCAGTTCCCACAAGAGCTACCCCAGGTGCTCCTTCTACACACACACACACACACACACAGAGAACTGGCAGTATTTATTATAATAAGTAAATAAAAAAAACTTTGGAGTCAAAAGCAAAGCCAAACAAGGCTACAAAACAAGCCTGAGATATCTCAGTTTGACAGTCAATAGCCACACTCCAGATAGAGCCACAGCAACCTTTGGACATCATGAGTCATCCCATCTGCAAAGTGTTCTCTCATCCAGAGGGGAATTCCGTTAGGTAGGATTCATGGGCAATGCCAAATCCACACCAGTGCTTGATAGGGTTTGTTGTTAACCCTAAAGATCCCCCCTCTTCAGAGCTCTCTGCTAAGCAAGTCCTGGGTGGTGGTGAGCTCCTACAGCATTCAACACCACCAAGTGAGTGACCAACCAACCTTTCCAGTACTACCAGTCTTTGTTCACAATGCAATTAAAGAAAACAGCACATGAAGGAGAATGAGGTGCTAAAGCACAAGGAAATCACATGGCTTGCACCCAGGAAGCCTTCAACCCCAGTAGGGATGGTGGATGAAGAGCCCAAAAATCAGTGCTTGGGAAGGTCAAGCACCAACCACCAAGAGTAATTCAGGCAGAGGGAGGCAACTCCATGTGAGTTGGTCAAGTCCAAGCTGCATTTGTTCTCTGCTAATTCACCCAGTTTCCACAAGAACATCAACTTTTGCTCTGCAGTAAAAGGTAGAGCAGGAGACCCGCATAGAACAGCCAAAGATGACAACAGTTTCTGCAACTCTAAGAAGAGCTGACACCAAAACTACTACTGGCATTAAGAGAGGTACCCTTAGTCTATGTCCACAACCCTCTGTGTTGAGCACATGGCCTCCAGGTAGAACCTTGACCCTGTAGTTCTACCAAGTAAATGCTTAAAACATCTCCCATTCTGTAAAAAAATCCAAATCGGCACTTATTTTCATCCACTCTCCAGAGCAAAAATATCTCCTAACACTTTTGTCCCCCAAAAAAAGGGATGTTCCCAAGTGCCCAGATGACCCAGCAGCTGGAAAACTTGCTGTAGAAATAAAGCAACCAGAACATCAAGCTCTCAGCACTGGTTTTATTTCCAGAACTGGTGCTGGTCTAAAAGCTATTTTGATGGAGTCAGAGCTGTCAACTGGGATTATTGCAACTTTGCAGCCCACGAGTTTTTGAGTCGGGCCAGCACAGGACAAGTGGCCAAGTGACCCCGGTTTAGCCACGTTAGCCCGTGGGAGAGAGAAAGAGAAACAAAAGCCAGAGAACCAATCCACACACAAAAGCGGGCTTTAAAAATGCTCCTTTTTACAAGATTATCGATAATTTCCTTCTCCTCCCAGCCAAAGGCATTTCAGAAAGTAATACGGGGGGGGTGTTGTTGCTACCCAGCCAAAGGCATTTCAGAAAGTAATACGAGGGGGGTGGTTGTTACTGCAAAACAACCAGTAGGTCATAACAAATGGTTTTCCTCCCCTGAACTTCTATTGATAAATAAAAAGTCCCTATCATGAAACTAATCTCATGAGGCACTCCGGCTGCAAGCTGTTTTTCTGTGGGAGACATTACCAGCTAAAACCTCTAAAACCTTTTATTGAGAATATGGTTACATCACACAGCCTTTTAACAAATGAGTGGAGGATTAAGGTTTTAAATTTCCCAACGAAGTGGCCTCACTGTTGGCTAATGCACTCAGGAAGAGGAAGGAAAAAATAAAACGATGGAGAAAAATCAAAAAATATGGGGGATTGGGGGTTTTTAAACAGCAAAATCTGCACCCAGAGTTTGAATTTGAGGAGTGTGGAAGCGCTTGGGGGAGGCACAGGGCACCATGAGAGCTGGGGCAGGGAGCCAGCAGGAAACAGATGTATTAAATCTTCAGCCCCAGTACATGAACCCTGGCAAAAAAAAAAAAAATAAAAGGGAAAAAATAAAATCACCATCACAGCAGCGTTCAGGATTCTCTTGGAAGGGAACAAGCATGAAGTGGCCCCATCCACAGCCTCTGATGCTGTCAGAGATAAAAAAAAAGCCACCTAGAAAAGCCCACATTGACAGTTTCTTTTAAATAAAAGCTGGTATCGTTAATAGGAAATCTAATCAGGTGTTTAGTTTTGTTTTTTTTAAATTAAAAAAACCCTAATCATGTTATGACAACTAATCAGGTGTTTAGTTTGTTGTTTTTTTTAATTAAAAAAACTCTAATCATGTTATGACAAATGCTGCATATCCCCTGCCAGTTTTCCTCCTCCCCCCTCCAGAGCTTTGCAATATTTTCCTATGTTGCTGCTCTCCTCCGTGCTACTGTCCGACGGATCCAAACAGGGATCACACAAGGGAAATGGTGTGTCTGGATGTAGAATAAATCAGAAAAAAAAAAACCCACTCAACCTCCCGTTAATCTTCTCTTAAAAGCAGCACCTGCTATTTAGACAAGGCCCTGGGTAAACTCCAACCTGGTTTAAGGTTGCAACCTCTTTAGCTGCAGCCGGGAGAGGCTGGGCTCGAGTGACTCAAGATCAGATTGATCCTTGTTCTGCCAAGGTTGTGATTCCAACACTTGTTAAAGGAAAAAAAAAAAATAAAATACACCTCTAGAGCCTTCCTGAGTTTTTCTTTTTTGGAGGGGGGTATGGTGGGTTTGTGTGGGGTTTTTTTTTTTAGTTTTGGGGTTCTTTTTTGCCAAAGGGCTGCAGAAACACAGCTCTGCTGCTGAAGAACAAGTTCTGAAAATTATATACTTGGGAGGAGAGCACAGATTACAGGGCAAATTGACAACAGGTTAATAAAGCTGGCTCCCAGGGGACAGACTTAACGGGATCCATGCTTCAACACCCCCCAAAAACTCACGTTAACCCATCTTCTCCAGCAATGAGAGGTGCTTTTTAAAGCCTCCTGGACCCTGGGAGCGTGGATTGACACCCAAGGGATGGCGGGGAAAGTCGAGCAGCGGGGTGGGTGGCAGCCCGAGGACAATTCCTGCTGGTTTCACCCCACTGTTACTAATTAAACGAGGTGACGCCAGCGGAGCTATCGGCCCCATCTCGCACGCAGGGCCAGGCTGCCGTTGCACCGACTTCCCTCTCAGGAGAAGTTTGTCAGCAAGTGAAAAACCCTGCCTGGTACCTCCAAGAGCAAGGAGCGGGACAGGCAGTTCTTGGCTGGACCATCTCCCTATGGGCAGGAAGGAGAAAAAGCCAAAAATATAGGAGAATTGGGTTAAAAGGAATCACCAGGAAGGTTGCAGATGGAGCCGGTGGAGGAAGATGTAATAGAGGAGTGGAGTTTAAGAGATGATGATCAAAAGAAAAGTGGCTAGAAGTGCAATTGGGGGGATTCTACCACTCTACTCCACTCTGGCAAGACCCCACCTAGACTACTGTATCCAGCTCTGGAGTCCTCAGCGTAAGAGGGATATGGACCTGTTGGAGAAGGGCCAGAGGAAGCCACAGAGATGCTGGGAAGGCTGGAGCCCCTCTGCTGTGAGGACAGGCTGAGAACCCTGGGGGGGTTCAGCCTGGAGAAAAGAAGGCTCTGGGGAGACCTCAGAGCCCCTTCCAGTCCCTCAAGGGGCTCCAAGAAAGCTGGGGAGGGACTTTTGATGAAGGAGGGGAGACCTAGGACAAGGGGGAAGATTTAGATGAGATCTCAGGAGGAAATTCTTTGCTGTGAGGGTGGTGAGACACTGGCCCAAGCTGCCCAGAGAAGTTGTAGACAACCCATCCCTGGAGATGTTTCAAAAACAGGTTGGAGGGGGTTTTGAGCAACCTGGTCTCATGGAAAACTTCTCTGCTCATGGCAGGTGTTTTGGAACTAGATTATCTTTAAGGTCCCTTCCGACCCAAACCATTATTTGATGAGCTACTGGACACGTTTCTATCACACATCAAGCCCTTCCCCTGCCATGCCCTGACACCCCCAGCAGAGTTTGATGGCCAGGATGGCCCTGCAGCACCCATGGGGTCCACCACCCCCATGGACCAGACAGAGATACCGAGCCCCATGGAGCGTCTGTTGGGTGCTTTGCCATCCTGCCCCCAACCATGACACCCCACCGCCGCGCCTCACCTTCCGTGTGCTGCTGCTCTTCAAGGCTTGCAGGAGAACGAGGCCACTGTCCCCTTCCCCACCATCGGCTGGGCTCTCCTCCTCGGGGGGCATCATCTCCAGGGGCGCAGCATCCACAGGTTGAGGAGGGGTGGGCCCACAGTTGGGGGCTCCTGCCTGACCCCACGGGCTGGCTTTGGGGCTCAGTGTCCCCCTCCTTGGGTTGCTCTGGTTGTCCTAGCCTAACCCTACACCCTGGTAGCCCTGATGTGGGGGGGGTCAAGGGGTCAGAGTCCCACTAGCCCCTGCCCTCTGATGCTGTGAACCCCCAGGCACCTAACATCTGGCCATATGCAAGCCCATAGCCTGCTTCTCCCCTTGCAGAGCTACCCCAGCATGGGGGGGGACACACACAGAAGACCCAAGAGACCCCACCTCAATGAGTTACCCCAGCTGGGATGGTGGGGGGAGAGGCAAAGCCCTAAACCCCTTATGTAGAGCTACCCTAGGTGGAGGGGGAGACCCCCACAGCCCCCCTTTGAAGAGATGCCCCACCTGGGTGGTGGGGGAGACCCTAAAGACCCCCTTGCAGAGGTGCTCCAGATGGGGGGGGTAAGCCCCACAGACACCCCCCCACCCACACACACCTTTGCAGAGCTACCCCAAATGGGGAGGAGAGATGCACAGAATCCCAAAGCCCCCCCCTGCAAGAACTACCTCAGCTGGGGGGGGACAAACACCTACAGACCCCCCCCTTGCAGAATTACCCTAAATGGGGAGGAAGAGAGGGCAAATCCCCCCAGACCCCCCTCACAGAGCTACCCCAGCTTGAGGGGGGGGGGGGGAAACAAGGGGAAAGGGCCAGAAAAAGCCCCTTTTGTGGAGCTACTTAAGCCGGGGGGGGAACCCCCCCAACCTCCAAGAACTACCCCAGATGAGTGGAGCAACCCCCCCCCAAAGGGCCCCTTACAGATCTACCCCAGCTGAGGTGAGGGGGGGTGTAAAACCCCCACAGACCAGCACACCCCTTACAAAACTACCCTAAATAGGGGGGAAAACAAACCCCTACAGACCCCCCCTCACAGAGTTACCTCAGCCGAGGGGGGGGGGGAGGGGGGAACACCCCCCCACAACCCCCTTCCAG